GAGTACCGCTTGACAATGCAGCCTTTCGCCATGGCGGCTCCAGCCAAGCCGTCTCTGCCGTCGTCACAACGATTCGAGTTTTACCCGCAACGTGGCGTCCACGTCAAGTGCCTCAACGTCGAGAGCGACGAAGTCGTGTACAGCATCTCGACGGCGACGACGTGCTTGCTGCATGTGGCGGTGGATGGAGTTCCTGTGGTACGGAGCCCGTTGCGGCTCGTGCACAGCCCCCATCCGCCGACTGCCCGAGCTGAGTCTTCACAACCAGTCCTTGTCCATGCCAGAGGAAGCGCTGTTGAGACATCGGCGGCTGTGGACGGTTTAGTCGTCGCTGGAGTCAAGCTAGCCAAGGACGATGGATGGCAGCCCGTAGCTAGCCAGTGTCTGCGAGTCCTTCAAGATCGGCCCGTGTTCATTCGCCTTGAGAGCGATCGCGACGGCGTCGTGCGGCGCTCTGACTTCACCGTCACGTCCACAGCTCCGTATAAACTAAAGGACGACCAGAGCGCGACGACGATGGCGCTGCGATTCAAGCGCTGTGGACGGCACACAGTGCGGCACGACCCAAGTCGAGCTGAAGCACTCGCCTCTCGAAATTCACTGTGTCCCGCCGTTGGCAAGGACGCTCGCGGCGCTTTCCAGACGGCAGGAACACGTCCAGCGCCAGTGGGAACGGGCAAAGGGACCGGTCACGTAGTTTGTATCGTACATGCTGCCGGCTACACGGTCGTTGTGGAGGTAGCACGGTTTGCAGGTAACGTTTGACGGGATGAGTACGCCCTAACGCGGCTGAAGCATGCTTACGACGCGGACAGCTGCAGTGCCTCGAGGTACATTGCCCGCGCGACGTGGACGTAGGGCTTACCCAAACGATGTAGCGCTCGCGTGATGTCTCAGGTGCAGCAGCTGCGACCGCCGGTTTTGCATTCGATTCACGTGGCATGGCTAGACACCTGACCAGTTTCACAGACGTGGCAGCCGTGTTGGCCATGGTGGAGCAGTTGCATGATGCCATGGACGGCTGAAGCGCTTCGGCACCAAGGCGCTCACTGCCCTCGCCACGGCGCCAAATGGATAACCATGCTGTCGAAAGATTGCTCGAGTGACGAAGCGGTGTGCCCTTGCCCATTTCGCAATCCCAGCCGTCCCGTTGTCTCCACGCCAGCGTTCGGCATGGCCGACTTGGTCCTCGCCACCCTACAGCATCATGCACGCTCGTCCGCTGTGCTGGCCACAATCCTTTCTCCCAGTCGTCCGGGAGGTCACGGACAGCGGCGATGCAGTGTATTCCTGCGGTCGGTCCTATTTCGCACCACCGTCATCTTTCACATGTCATCGTGGTGGGTAGACCCTCCTCGCGATCCGTTCCCGAGCCATCCACCGGACGGGACGTAGTTTGCCCTTCGATCGGCCTTCCTACGTCGACTGCGCCGAGTCCATGGCGTCGATGTTTCGGCGCCTTACGCGGACCGTGGACGCCGCTTCGTTTGGCATCACCGACTTCGTCGCGGCAATTGATCACATGTATGTGGTCGCTCGATCGCCGCGAGACCGATCTCTTTGCATAGGACGATACCGCTGCCCACGATGGGTGCGGAAGAGCTCTACACGTGCTTCAACTTTCTCGACGTCGAGCGGAGTGGCGCAGTGACTCTAGCGGGGTTTCAAACGTTTTGCATGGACCCCACGCATTGTTCGTTCTGGTCAACGTCCCGGCGCTGTGTGCGCAAAACATGGCCGACCTTCGTGCCATCGACGCCGTATTTGCCCGCGCGACCCAAGTATTAGCCGCCACAACACAGTATTCGCACGTGCAGTGCGCGGCCGGTTGGTGTTCGTGGGAGGGGTTTGCTAACGGCATGCACCTGTTGCTGCCGCCAGAACGACGCCCCACGACCTCGTCCGGCTTTGCCATCGCTTCGACATGAATGGAAATGGCCACATTTGCATTCAAGGGTTTTGCCGCGCGATTGCCGCGTCATGCCACGTACGAACAGGCCGATCGTTCACGAAGTTTTGTGTGCGAGATGTCGCGTTGCGACGGACCATCCCACGCAAAGGACCAACGACCTCGCAACACGCAGCGATTCCCCGGCAGCGCGGCGCGCCCCATCCGTTCCAAGACAAACGCCCCCAAGGCAGCGTGCCGTTCCAAGACAAAGAGAGCGTGCCTTTCGAGCCACGGGCGTCCCGACGCCCTTCAATTCAGCAGCTCCGTTGCCGTCCCCAAGTTGTTTGAATCGAGACCCCAAGCCGCGTCCCTCATCGACTTGTCAGAGACCGATGCAGGTATCGACGAGAGCCGTCGGGTTGCGAGGCTCATGGGCCAAGCCAACCACTTGCTGGTACGAGCGGGCCGATCAGGTGGCATGTTGATGCGCGGGGTAAGCGACAACGTGTGTCGTGGCTTGTCAAGTACGTCGGCGACTCGTCCTTTTGGTGCTCACGGAGTCATGCGAACCAGGGAAGGCGCTTCTTTCCGCCCGAAACTGACCCACTTGACGAGGGCACAGTCGTGCGCCGAGTTGTCGGGGGTACGATCTGCTGCTCGAGGTGTCTGAGCTGGAGGAGAAATTCTCATGGAAACGATGTAGCGAGTCATGCTGTGAGGTCCATCGAGGACACCGCCGGATGGGACCTTTCCAAACTGCGCTCGTCCGACAGGGCCAGCGCCACGCATGTCATGAGGCCAACCAAACCCACCACAGCAAATATGGCGTAAATACACGTGCGTCGAGTTGTAAATACCAGCCAGCGCCAAACAAGCCTTCACGATGCCCACAAGGGAGTCCTCAACGGCGTCTAGAATGCGATATCGATCTTGCCTCCATTGATTCAATGGGTCGGAAAGGTATCAACATGGAATGGCCGGTCGCATCGACGACGCGATGAGGCTCGTCGCGAGCCCGTGCATGGCCAGAGGAACGGCCACCGACGTCGTGCCTAGAGACGAGAAGCCCCGTGAAGAGCAATCGCCGCCGGTCGAATTCCCACCGAACGAATGGCGTAGCCCAAGGCTAGCGACATGATCGAAAACGCAGAGGAAGGAATTCTCAACGGGACGGCGGCACCTTGCACCTCGCGGATTTGAGAATGGCAATTGTCTTGCGTCCCTGTAGCGCCACGCGTCGTCGTCGCGAATGATCCGTGTGATTTGAGTCAGAGGAGCGCGGGCACAGCGGCGACAACTGCTGCCATTCGTTTGGGCGGATGGATCGCATTCAGCTGGAAAACGCGGCAATGGAGGCGATGAAGGACACGAGGCGGTGTGCGTGGTGCTCGTGGGGTCATCAGACTTCACGTTATACCTGCAGCGCAGACATCTTGAAGCAGTCTAGGTCGTGTAGGTTGTACAGGCCGATTGTCCACATATGAGCGCGACGTTGGCAAGGGCAATGAGCCAGAAAGGCCAGCAACAAAGCCAGTCATGTTGAGCCCGGGGAGGTGTTTCCGTTGGTCGAGGTTGCGCAGGCGATACGTTCGCTTGACGACGCGCGTCGGAGATGTAGATGGAGCTCGAGAGTTCACTGCGATGGCGTTCATTGCGTTTCATGGCAAAAGTTGCAACACAGACGCAAAACAGAGCGCCGAGCCTCAACGACGGGTGGAACCAGTACGCAAAGAGCGGGCAGAACACGTAGTCGAGGAGGGTTTCCAGGCGACTTGCCGATAGAAGCGGCGTCCCAACTCAAGCTCTGGCGAGAGCGGGAGGGTTGAGAGGCAACGATGACTTGCCTCACCAAGATGGGCATCGTGAGGGCAACCAGCATGTTGCAAGGCCCCCAACTATGCACAGAATGCCTCCGATGAACGGAACCGTGATGGGATGTGTGCAAAGATGTTCAGGTGAATGTACAGGATGGCAGAGTGGTGCTTCGGCAACCAACGGTAAACCCTTGAAGCTGCAGGCGTGATGTCGACGCAAAACGGGACTATAGATGACTCTTCCACGAGCTGTCGTAGCAGTACGTGGCGTCCATCCGTCGATCGCAGCAGCCGCCGTGGACGACCCAGTGGCCTCGACGTGAGCACTTTAAAACAGGACGTTTCATTGGACTTGATTTGAGTATGGGTATTTTGGTGTATTTTGTTGCAATTTCCACAGCATTTTTCCAAATTGACGCACATTTCATGCAATTGGATTGGCTACGGCGAATCTTGGCGAGATTCGTTGAATTTTATCGAATTTCGACGGTTTCGTTCTCACACAACCTACGACTGGCGAGCACGATGCAAGGGCTGGCGGCACTCCTCGATAAGCACATCAAGCCCGCCGTCCTCGTCCTCGTGGGCTTCCTCAGCTTTGGTGGATGCTACTGCTACGATAACCCGTCCGCGCTCAAGAGCCAGCTCACGCAGCACTTCAGCGGGAGTGTTGCCCAGTCGGACTTTGAGATGTACTTCGTATCCTTTTTCGCCGTCATGGCATGCATGCTCCATCGATCGTCCGTTTCCTTGACCACATCATGCAGAACCTGCTGTACTCCGTTTACTCGGTCCCCAATATTGTCTTGCCTCTCTTTGGCGGTATTCTCGCGGACAAGTTTGGCCCGCGCTACGTTCTCGTCTCCACCACAACCCTCGTGTTCCTCGGCCAGGTCGTATTTGCCATCGGCAACTCGTTTCAGCACCTTCCCGTCATGCTCGTACGGCCTTCCGCAACGCATTCCCTTTTTCACGTTCTCACCCGCTTGCATCACCAGATCGGCCGCGTGATCTTCGGGCTCGGCGGCGAAACTGTGTCCGTCGCCCAATCTGCGCTGCTGGCGTTGTGGTTTCCTGCTTCCGAACTAAGTAAGTGCATTCTCTATCGATTGCGCATCGTAACATGCCCGTAGTATTTGCCAAAGGCATCATTCTGAGCGTGATGCGCCTTGCCACGACCACCAACAACCAACTGAGCCCAACGATTGCTGAAGCGTACACAGTGTCGACTGCCGTCTGGGTTGGCGCCGCTGTATGCCTCCTCTCGGTCATGGCATCACTGCTCCTTGTACCGATCGATGCCACGGCCGAGCAGCAGATATGGCTCGGACCGATCAAGAAAACCAGCACGAGTTGCAAGTCAAGGCCAATATCCGCCTCGCCGATGCCGCCACGTTTAGGTGCTGCTGCTCGCCATGTTTTCACTGCTGACGGGCGTATTCGTAGCTGGTCGTTCTGGCTCATTGCTGTGCTATACGTGCTGCTATATTCAGTGATGGGGCCGTTCACCAATATTGCGTCGGGCATTTACATGGAACGCGACTACTTTCGAGCTCCGCCAGTCGAGTGCCAGCGTTGCGGGGTGGGCGCTCTACTCAACGATGGCCGGTGCATCCCGGCTGCATCTTCCGCAGCAGCCAGTCTGTCCATCTCGAGTGCATGCCCCCCGTCGCCGCCGTTTGCGTATCCCTTGCCGGCCTTGTCCGCGTCGTACCGTCCATGGAACCCTGTGGACCAGTTCAACAGCTCCAAGGCGCCGCCATACATGGACGAGAGCTCGATCAACTGCGACGACGTTGCGTGGAAGGAAGGGTCGTTCACGAAGGCGTATTGCGACGCCAAATTTCACGCCGAAGTGCTCGCAGCAGCGCCTCTGAGCTTGCCGTCGCTCGTCATGGCGCTCCTGGCGCCAGTCTCTGGCTACTTTATCGACCACATTGGATGCCGCGCCATCATCGCGACGGCCACGATGGCCACCCTCGCCATGGCGCAGGCGCTTCTGGGCTTCCCGGTTGTGTCGCCCTTTGTCCCATGCAAGCCACCGCCGTGTGCCTCTTCCTGACCGCACGGTGGCCCGCAGTGTCTTGTAAATCGTGGCATCTACAGTCGTGCCTGATGCAAGAGTGGCCATCGATTGCGTCGAGCTACATCACGTGGGAACGGCGTATGGCGTCCTGGCGGCGCGTCTCTGGTACCTCTGCACCTCTCAAGGGGACAATGCGCCAACGTTTTCCCGGTAGAATGGCGGCTTGGCTGCCGTGCCGATGGTGGTTGTCGTCGAGTACATCGCGGCCGACCACAAGTACATTCCGTTCACGCACGAATGGTTTGGCGCGTTTGCAGCGCTTGGCATGTGCGTTGGGTTTGTCCTTGTCTCGGTGGACTTTCGATCGGGGGGTGTCCTCCACTCGGCCACGATGACGCCGTATGCGTCGCCGCAAGTGATGCC